TGAGAATTTCTTGCATTGGTATTCTCCTAGTTTAAACATACATTTAAAAAGTCACATTGAAGTTTTGAGCCCTATTTTCTCAGTGAGTTCCCAATTCTGGTTTTGGAAATTGGAGCTAAGTGACTTATTCTGTTCCTCAGATTGTTAAAATATCAAAGCTTTCAGTTTTAATAGAATGCCTTTGACTCTGAATACTCTGCTTTTGATACCAGAGCCATGAAAGCATGAGTCTCTGTGGCAGGTGGAATAATGACCCCCCAAAATGTTCATTTTCTCATCCTTGGAAGCAGTGGCTATGTTAACTTTACGTTGCAAATATGATTTTGACAAGTGGATTTAAATTAAGGATTTTAAATGGGGAGATTATCCTGGATTATGTAGGTGAGCCCAATGCAATCACAAGCAAAAATACTTGGTGGGCAGTCCCAACCCAGGGCTGTTTTTCAATGTAAATTTTTTTCAAATTTAGCAAAAGTATTCACTTAAGAAGCCATATAAGCTCTTTTCTAATTAAATGTTATCCCTCTTGTCCACAAATCTGTGGCAAAAATGCCCTTTCTGTTTACTGTCAAGGACAGTCAGGAAGGATTTGATCTGTTAAGGAAAACAGCCCTTCGCTCTTGAAAGAGAGAAGGAAACTGATTTCTTTCCTAGGTTTCAAGATAATGTGAAGTGCCATAGACCTGTTTTAGACTTCTACCTCACAGAACTTAAAAGGATAAAATTTGTATCACTTTAAGTCACTAATTTTCTGGTAATTTGTTATAGCAGCAAGAGGAAACTCACAGAATGTAATCTGGAACTTTTGCTTTCTATTTGGATAAAAACTCACCCTGCCAGTTCTTTTTAGTAGGAAGTGGCAAGGAACAGAGAATGGCTTTCTTTCTCTACCAGTCAGTTCCCAAGTCTTTTCCTCTATGAGACGTGAAATCCAAACTCTGGCCTCTGGTATCAGCCTGCTTTTATTGACAGTAACTTCAGGCCCTCTCTGAACATGCAGTGGGATGGAAACAATTATGCTAGGACAACAGGGATATATTGAAACTGTGCTGTACCCCTTCTTATGTTTCTTATGTTTCTACTAAAGTACCCACTTCACTTTGCCTTTACAAATTGCCTTCACAATTAATTGCTTACATTACCTGTCCCCTCGTCTCCTCTTCATCTCTATTCTTCATGATATGTTCCTGATCATAGCTGCCATCCCTATCATGAAAATTATAACAACTAAAAATTTCCATCAGGATGTTGCCAGTCACATTATGTATCTTACAGAAATAGCTCATTTAATCCTTGCAACAGCCACTGGAAGATGACCCTAATATTACCCTCATTTTATAGAGAAATATTAAGCTGTGCAGAGGTCAAGTTGCTCAAGGTCACACAGTAGGCAGTGACAGGGCCAGGGTTCAGTTTGGAACAAACTAGTTATCCCTATTTTTCTCTCCAAATAGTACTTTTCATCTAGAAAGTGCTAAGTGTTTTTGTGAAATGCAAAGGACACTTAGGTTCACTCACATGTTTACACACCCAATCCCAAATATTAGTGGAAAAAAGGACACAAACAATAATGTCAATAGTTTGTGTTCTATCCAAACATTTGTGGCAAACTATTAAAAAAAAAAAAGCTATTCACAGAAAATGTTGTCCTTGGTCTTTTCAGATCTAAATTAAAATTACTAGAATTTATTTAGGAAAATAAGAATTATTGGAGGAAACACATACCTTTTAAAGTCGCTTTTTGATTACAGCTTTACCACAGTGTCTATAAGTGGAGCTGGCAGCTGTGTTTCCTTAACAGGTCCAATGCTTCCCGACTGTCCTTGACAGTAAACAGAAAAGGCATTTTTTTTTTTTTTTTTTGCCAAGGATTTGTGGACAAGAGGGATAACATTTAATTAGAAAGGATAGAGCATTTTTATGGCTTCTTAAGTGAACACTTTTGCTAAATTAAAAAAAAAGTCACGTTGCAAAATAGCCCTGGGTTGGGACTGCCTGCCAAGTATTTTTGCTATTTAGCAAACAGAATAACATTGATTTTAATTATCCACACCCTTATGCCAAGAGAAATCACAGGCCTAAAAGATAAAGTTGGAGTCTAAGAAGTAAAGTTACAGCATTGATGCTGCTGTTTTCCCATGAAAACTTCTACTTCTCATGTGACTCATGATGTAATTAAACAAAGGTAAGTTACATTCTACTTATTTAATGATATGAGGGGTAAAAAAATAGTGGAATTACTTAAATGATGACATAAATATGAGCATGATGATTTGAGAAAGAAAATATGATTTTCAAATATTAGATTCTTTGGTATAAAAATGTAATTGACTCTTAAGGCCTTTATAGGATAAATAATTGCTTAATAAAATGAGAACTGAGTTAACATAAAATCTTCTGTTTTTAATAACTGTTAGAACCTATCCAGGTTAATCATTTAGCCACTTTAAAACTTGAATAGACTTTTTTATTTGAGGCACATCTTCTCAGGTTGAAAATTATCATAGTTCCTGTAGTGTATTTACCTACCTACCTTCGTACAAGTATATGCACATATAAATATTAACTGTTCCATTAAACAAATAAACTCAAATTACGAAGTTTGAGAATCTAGTAAGCTTCATTTATGGAGTTTAGTAAATATGACTATTCAACCTTCAAGAACAAACCATTTGCAGTCTTCTGTCTTTATTGAAAAACACACCATGCCTCTAAGACCTAGGGATATTTGATACTCTGTCCTGAATTTAGATTCTGCAGACTACCTAATTCCTGTCCTCCTCCACAGCTCCTGGGAGCTGCTCTTTGTGAAAAAAAAGTTTAGAAGCTTTTTTCATGCATGACTGTATTCAGTCCGGTCCTGTGGGAGGTGTAGAGGAAGAAAGGAATTTGGCTGAGGGAATTGAAACATATTAAGAAAACAAAACACAACTTAATAATAACACTTAAAAAATACCCAAAAAACTAATCTTGTGATTTGACTAAAGAGCATGAAGAGATAGGTTTGTAAAGTAGAGCTTAGTAACTTTCCAGTACCCCATGGGTCCACTCTCACTGTATTAGAACTAAAAATTTCAAACCTCACTTCTATAATATAGATTTTCAAATGAGCTTTGTCTCTTCTATTTCAGCTGAAAAATTTGAAGTGAAAAAGGGATTCATTTTTCCTTTTCAGTAAAGGACATATATTGAACCAAAAAACAGCACTGAGAACTGGAATTGTCCAACCCTTCATTTGGGTCCACCATTTTCCAAGGGAGTCACTAAAGTAGTGAGTTATTCAAGGCACCAAGACCCAGATCTCCTACATTCAAATTTTAGCTTTTAATTTATTGTGTTTCCCTAAAATGTGAGAACTTTCCCATGAAATGCAAATAGAGTTGTTGTGGGATGGGAAAAAAAAAAAGTATTCCCCTTTCTAAATAGAAATACCATGCAAGATACATGAATAATTATTTCTTCTAGTAACCACATTAAAAAAAAAATGTAAAAAGAAACAGGTGGGTTGGGCCTGGTGGCGCATGCATGCCTGTTATCCCAGAGGCTTGGGAAGCTGAGGCAGGAGGACCTCAAGTTCAAAGCCAGCCTCGGCAACTTAGCAAAATCCTGTCTTTAAATAAAAAGAGTGTGGGTTAGTTTGCTGGGAATGTGGCTCAGAGGTTGAGTGCCTCTGCATTCAATCCTTGGCACCAAAATAAACAAACAGAAACAGGTGGAATTTAAAATGTTTAACTTAATCCAATGTCAAAAACACTCTCAGCTCAACATGTACATTTTTTTTTAAAGTCTTTGAACTCTTGTGTGTATGTCACACAAGAACAGCACAAATTTGGACTAGCAACAATTCAAGTGCTGCTGTTGAGTACACCTCCAGTGTTGTGAAACATGGTTAATACCTATTAATTTCTTTACTGCTGGACTTTCCAGTCATTGATGTGCTCAAGCACATCAGGCATACTTATTTACATCTGCTCAAGCAACACAAATGGACTCATACTAAACCATGTGGTGTCCCTAGGAGAAGCTTCTTCATGCACCAGATTTTGAAGACAAAACTAACAAAGGACTTACATTTCTGTATTTCACTCCTATCTGTGACACTTTCTAGGTAGCCAACACTGAGTAATTTATTAATCTCTCTTAAATTTTTGTCCATATCTGGAAAATGGAAATTTTACTGACACTGCAGTACTACCTTAAAGAATAAATGAGAACATTAACAAGGAGAAGCCAGAAAAGTACCTGGTACAAGGCTGGCACAGAATGAATATATTATACACGCATTTTAATCTATATATTAAAGACACCACAAGTGACAGAGTACCTGTACTATATTTGAAACTATGTATGAGTTTATAGTTTTGAATGAATTCTCTTTTATTGTCAAAATTTCAAGGGACTTTGGAACTATGTTGTTTCAAATCTGCACCTAGAAGCCTCAAGTGCAGTACATCAGAGGTGGGTCTTAGAGAAGAAAGGGCACATTATATGGGCTCCATGCTTCCACTCTTAACTTTAGTCAGAAAAATTCTTTAAGTCTTTAGGTAAGTTTCCATTTGAAAGAAAATATCCTTTTAAAGTTAATTTATAATCTATAATAGAAAATTTAAGGATGAAATAGAATGTACTCTCAAGTCTGAAAAAAGGTTCTATTTATTAAAGGTAAACTACCTTATGAAGTAGATTGCTAGAACTGGTCACTATGGAATGGTAATGACTTGTATTCCGAAGTAAGGGAAACATATCTACTACTACAGTGGAGTGTTGCAAAGAAAGTCCTGTGCAAATCACCTTAGTGAATATTCTGCTGGTATAGTCCATGTTCTGCAAAACTGACAATGCAACACTATTTAGTAAATGAAAATTAAAGGCAGAATTGTTTGGAAGTAGCTTTGACTTGTCTTTTTTTGATTTTGAAAAGTGGGGCAAGGAGCACATTCTATAAAGTTTCCACAAAAATCATTATAATTCAAGAGTGCATAACAAAATTCCAAGTAATATCTGATCTTCACAGTGGTTTATTTTGAAGACTAGATTTCAGTGAAATAGCACAAGCATTTGCCAATTTAGTAAAACTAACTACTATACATCTCATTTAACAAAAACAGGAAATCCTGGTAAGACAGAGAATATACCCAGTGTGTTCCCACAGGAGTACAATTTTATGAACCCTTTTTGCTACTTTAACAGAATGCTGAGAAGGGGGAATGCAGAATAAAGACTTACTTCTTACAGTTCTGCAGACTGGGAAGTCCAATGTCAAGGTGGTGGCCTGAGACAGTCAGGTGCTGGAGCTCAGATCTCCTTTTTTTCTTCTTATAAAGTCATTAATCCCATGATGGGGGCCCCACCCTCATGATATTATCTGACCCTGCATTCAAATATCAGACATATTTGAATTTGGGGATTAGTTTCCAGAACACTGACTTTTGACTCAGTTTGGGTCACACATCATAGCACCCTTCATAGAGAATGCAGTTGGGTAAAGAAGTTTATTAAAGCCTTTGGTGTCTTGGGATTCCCCTCTATGTACCTTCTTTTAAGTGATGCAGTACAGTAGCATTCAGGAAGAAACAGCACATTCCTTTATTAAAAGTGGCTAAAATAGTCCCCGCCTAGATTAGTCTTCGATGCATGTTTTCCTTAAATTATATCATTTAAAATCCATTACAATGCATTGTTAATCAGAAGAATGATCTCTTTGAAACCACAGTGTTTCATCCCCTTTATAGATGAAGACCCAGGAGGAAGGGAAAAAATTCAAAGAAGCTGGAAATTACTTGACCTTATGCATGGTGCTTGAGAAGGTTTATCACACATACTGGGGTTGTTCTAGTCAAGCAACCTCAGTTCTGTCCTGTACAACCACAGCCAATCCCTGTCTGTGCATATTTGGGTGTCTCTTGACTTGATGAAATGTGTTTCCTAACTTCTAATGTAACTAAAAAAATCCCAGTAAATAAAAGAAATCACAACAAACACCAAAGCAAGCAGTTATTGGTTAAGGAAAAAAATGCCTGGGAAACAGGCCAGTGGAGTTGTGAAATATAAAACTCTTTTGATATAAATACATTTTAGCTGTTAAGACAGGGTTTTGAAGTGCAACTAAGAAAATTTCCCAAACTAACATTAAAATAAGTTTTCCTATAGTTATGGTTACCTTAAAATTACAGGGAAGCATCCTAAAGTTGATGCATTTTTCTCTTATTCACATGTTCCAGTATCTCTACCAGTGTGAGATGCTCCACAGTTTTAACTAAAGATGAAATGTGATAGCTATTTTGGTTTTGAGGCATTTCATACAAAATGCATATCAGTAACTTTCTTGGTAAATACAGATTACATCTAAGGTATTGTAAAAACAAATATTCTTTATAGACACCACCAGCAAAATGTATTGACAGTGTACTACATGCCATGCTTCCTTCTAATCGCTGCACATGCACTGTGAACTTAAGACTGACTATAACCATTAAGATGGGCTACTAAATCCTATTTTTCTCAGATAATAAAAAGGAGGTACAGCATGATTAAATAACTTGCTTGAGGTTCACCAATTAAGAGAGTACCAGGATTTGAACCCATTCTGGGTGCTGAGATCTAGGATTTTCACCATTATTTTCTACTCCAAAATGACACACTAAGAAATGACCATGCTAAACATCTACAATATCGGTCAGGCTAATATCTGTAATATTGATCACATTATTCAATATATTCATTATGCAAGGCACCAAGGGTAGTTTTGCAGACAAAAAATGATATAAAAATTCATATAACTGTGCTCTCAAGTAGCTTCAAAATCTAATGGATGGTAAGATAACACAAACAGCTTTGATATAGCACATAATATGTACTTTTTTAAATGTAAAATTCAAATAAACTCAGAAAGGCTGAGTGAGATAGATGAAAGATCACGTGTACATTTTCTGGAAAAAAGAAGCATTCTTTGGAGTCCTCTGGCAGACAGGGGGTTAAAAGTCTTAAGTTTGAAACCTTCATCATGCTCAAGTTAACCTCTCTGAGCCTCTTTGATCTGTCTCACAGTTATTGTCAGCATTTAACAAGCATCCAATATGCATTCTATCCAACACTTTTCAGTTAAATTAAACATGATTGAAATAGATCAAGCATAAAAATAATTTTTTCAGAAAGGTACTACAATGAAGGGAACTATAGATACCACAAGAGTGTTAGGGACTTTAGGAATGGAAACTGGGGATTTCTTTTCTTAATAGGTTTTTTTTAAAAGAAAATCAGTCTTTATTTTTAAGAGTGAGAGTAAGAAGATACAGAGATTTCTCAAATAACACTGCCCCACGCATGCACAGCCTCTGCCATTATTAATATTCCCATCAGAGTGGTACATTTGTTACACTTGATGAGCCAAGGGAATTAAAAAGAAATTGGGACTTTTGACTCAGTTTGGGGAACTTGGACCGGTCTGGCCTGCCATGTACAGCCAGGGAACTGAGAAATGTGACTGGCAACTCTACATAGAGGACCAAGTACTTCTCTCAAAAGGACAGAACAGATACCAGTGAAATCTAAAAGAGGTATCACAAACAAAAGTACTGATGAATAAAATAAAATTATTAACAGATATGAATGAAGACTTCATATGCACCAGGCAGTTTCAAAGCATATAACATGTACCATGTGGTATAATTCTTAGAGGAGAGAGCCTGGGTGATGAACAGAGCACTACTTGGATGTAGTATAGGAGGAGAACAGGGAGTAATGAAGTGGGCTCAGATGATGGAGAGCACTGAATGGGAGGCTAAGTTATATTTCATTTTATTGACATGTCAGAGACAATGCAGGTGACTGCACAGAATGCAAAACAGTCACAGCTCTTTATTAACTAATCTGAGTTAGAGGAGGAAGAAGTGGGAGATGGAATTTAATTTAGTTTGTCATCTCAATTGGGAAGTTCAGCAAAGACCTGAGTTCATCAGGTTGCTATGGGAATGGAAAACAGAAAAACAAAATAAAAAAGCCCAAAACATTAAAAGATGTCCTTGAGGGTATGCCCCAAATGACTAAGGACCTCTCAATAGTACCCAGCTTTCAGAGATTCTACCACCTCCCAATAGCACCATCCAGAGACCCGTGACTTTAAGGATGGACTTTTGGGGGACACTCAACATCCAAACTACAGCAGTAGCTAAAATATCAAAATAAAGGGTGACAACTGGATTCGGAGGAGAATGATGATGAATTTAGTTTGGGGCACACTGAGCTGGGGCAGGTGACGAATTCTCAAAAGACTTTCAAGCAGGTAATCCCAAACATGGCATCATATTTCAATATGAGAACAAGTGGGGCAGGTAAACTCAAGCTTCTGAAATAGAATTGCAAAAAGAGCACTGTGAAAGAAGAAATGAATATACAATATAATGATACTTAAATTCTAATGCATATTGGGTTTAGCCAACAGGTTTGTAAAATTTTAAAAATTTAGATTTATTAGGATTTATTAGTAACACAATCACAGAGAATAAAGTTCAAGAATTCACCAAGGATGGTCACCAGTATGTGCTTCTTTGTGGCTTTTAAAACCATATTCCTCATCATTCAAATTTATTCATAATTTAAATTTCATAGATAGCTTCACAATGTGGATCTTACAGGTCTTCCATCAGTAAAATTAATGAAAACATATCTTTCATGAAAGGCACATAAAGAATCTAAACTAACACATTTAAGGAATTTCGCTAATTTTGAATTTCTTTACAAAGAAGGAAAAAAAATCCCCTAATGAAACAGATATGAATGTAGTTCATGGTTACCCATACACACACATATACACATACTTCAACAAACATACTTGAACAAAATGACAACACATAACTAAACTCAAGAACCACTTACCAGCAACACTTACTGAAAGACTTAGTTTTTCAGGATGAGTAAAAAAAAAAAAAAAAGCAGGGGGCGGGGGAACGGGAGCAGGGAGTGGTGTTCATTTGGTTAAAACAAGGTCACAGAGACACCTTGTAAATAATCGAAAGAAAAATGATTCTACCAATGTTCAATATCTAGCTGATAATGTAACACTTATTTGACCATACACACAATCACTGATTCTGTTAAATACTATTACTCATTTTCTAGATGTTACTGTCCATTTAATTGTCAGAAATAACAGTATAATTTAAAAAGAAAAAAATATAAATTTCAACAAGAGAATTTGAATATCTAAGAAAAAAAGTCATTTTAACATAGTGTTATAATTAAATTGGAAACAAGTTACATGTGTGAATTTAAAGCTTACATAAAATATCAGCAATAGAGTATTCAAAGATCTTTTGTGTTATCCTGCAAACAAGAAACTATTATGTATGCTAAGTACAAGGGATTTCCCAAAGGAAATACACAAATGAATGTCTCAAAATTCATTATGCTAAATTATTTTTTTACCCACAAAATGCTCTCAACATCCACCTAAACTCAGTTATAAATAAAAATGTAGTTATTTAAAGTGTATAAAATTAATCTGGCATCACCTTTAAGGTAATGCATGAATACTATCCAGATATTAAAATTCAAAGTGAAAACAAACCAAATGAATAAAAATTATGTGTTTATAAGTCTAAGATAGTATATCCTCAAAAATCTGAAGTTTTAGTTTTTCAAACTAAATCTAAGGTAGAATCAGAGCAGCATGCACTCATTAAATAAAAGAATGATTAAAATGCATACATATTGAAATAATTGATCCAAAGGCAGGTATACTCATCCTTTTTAAGAACGTTTCAATAAAACACATTAAATTCAAAGAACAAATCATGTTATTAAAATAGTCTGTGCAATGTTTGTACAAATAACATTTTTATGAATCCAAGTATACATATAATCAAGATAAGGGGCTGTGACATTTTCTAATATCAATTATTGTATCTAAAAATTATAGGACATGAACATAAATAAAGCTTTTTAAAACTGGCAAATACAGTAAAAGTCTGTCATTCAGTACAAGGTACTTAATATTTATGTTATTTCCAAAGCCATCACACTAGAATTATAAGTTGCCACTCTTAAACCTAAAAGTAATGTGGGAAATAAAAGTTATAAATACATTATACATACATTTGCATATTTACACTTACACAGAAATCAATATACTAGAGCCCAGCGTTAACACTGTCCTTCATTTTCACATTCAGGACCATATTTCACAATTAAGAAAGGTCCTTCTGTTACTTTCAGGTAAAGAAACAAAACAGAACCACTTTGGTCAGATCCCAGATGCATCTGCTGTATAACTACATTCTGTGTTGCTGCAAGACTCTAGTCTAGAGAGATCCATACATAAGTACTCATTTGGTTTGAAAATGCATTTTACTATTAACTGCAAAACTTAGAAGAGACCACAATCTTTTAGATTATTTTTTATGATGACATCTGTTACAGCATCAAAAACAAACTGCACGTTCTTAGTATCTGTGGCACATGTGAAGTGGGTGTATATTTCCTTTGTGTCCTTTCTTTTATTGAGGTCTTCAAACTGACATTGAATATATGCAGCTGCTTCTTCATATGTATTTGATCCTGAGATGGGAAAAGCAAAGAAACAATGTAAAAAGTTAAAGTACTTACACTGCTAAGCAAAAGGGATCTTAGAATATAAAATTTTGACTCTGTAACTGCATTTTGCCTTAGAGAATGAGAGGACTTTTCTAAATGAAAAACACCTAACAACCTTTAAGGACTATAAGTTATCCTTAAAACTAAAATCTCCTTTGCACAGTATTCTATATTTGTTGTGATCTTTGTTCTGACCTCAATCTCCAAATGCCCAATCTTCTTTTTACTCTTATCCTCTATCATCTACAGCCCAAACTGAATCACTAGAGTGCCTGATGGTGTCATGCTATTGCAGTTCTAGTCCAGTGGCAGATCAATAATGCTGGCAGAATGCTGATTTTTCTACCCCCTTTCTTATTTACACATTAACTAACATTTATCATTTTTTCTTTATTCAAAAATCATACAAACATGTACAATGTAGCTTAAGGCTGAGATTACAAATAGTGAATGACACACTCCTACTTTCAAGTTACTGACTAAAGACTTCAGAAATTGTTTGGCAATACTAAAGAAAACTGCATGCATGCTCTAACCCAGCAAGTTTAGTATACACTAGATACTACTATCTGTACATATTCATTAGAAGACATATGAAAAACACTCATAGTGGTACTAAAGTTCATCAACTGTAGCTGGCTAATAAATTCTGGTATATTCATACAACATGTTGCCATACAGAAATGAGTGATGAGAACAAAAGTACCACAGGAACACAGAGTAACACAGATCAATCTTCTTAATGTTTTGTTCAACAAAAGAAGCTAGAAACAAAAACACTACATACTGTGTGATCCCACAAGTGTTTAGAAAATATTCAAAATACACAGAAGAGGACAAAAGTCAAGATAATGATTACTCTGCGACTGGAAGGATGAGAGGGAGGTACTTGATCAGTTAAGGCTGGGAGGAGGCATGAAAGGGCTTCTGTGACCCTCCAATAGTCTCCTAACTCCAGTGGTGGATGTTACTTCTCCACTTTTCACTTTGCAAGTTCACTTTTAAAAATCCAATACTTTACTTGTACTGTCTATATACATATAATGGTACTGCAATAAAATATATTAATAAATACAATATGATAAATAAAATAGTTGAATAAAATGGTCCTTTGAATACATAATTTAAATCCCTATTTAGTACTAATAATCCAAGATTATATGTCTGGCTTTCAAGGTTCTCTGTTACCCAGTCTGTTTTGGATTGCTATTCTGAGGCCCTCTACTCCCCATCTGACGCTCCCTTTGTTTCAGAAGGACCCAATATACAAACTGCCCCCTGTGTTGCTGAACGTTTTCCTCTGCACTGTCCTGTACCACCTGATTTCCCCAACCAGGCTTTCAGGTTTGCTCACAATTATCACTACATCTAACTTCCTAATTACCCCAATTCAGATGGGCTCTGTATCATTAAAACCCCCTAAAGACTGTGGAAACACTCTATTTCAGTTTTTGTTACATTGTTTTAACAGGGTCTCAAATTCCTTTTCAGCATTATGTCTCCTAACCAAGAATGTGAACACATCAAAGATAAACATCGTCTTCTATAGCTTGCTCAGTTCCTTTCATGTCTTACATGATACCCTGTAAATGAAGCATGACAAAATCCATAGGGATGCTGGGCTTACAGAACTCATTATATAAAGGACAAAGAAGTAGTAAAACTTGAATAAGTTTACATTTGAATTCTGATGTTGCTAGAAGATAATCATATATTTTAACAAATCAATTTTTATCTTATTAAAGCATAATAAGGTTAGTGCTCTGAAATTTTGAAGCAATGAACAGTGTCTGCTTGGACCAAGGAAATTACTATAACCCTTTCATTAAAAATATGTTTTGGAGAAAGAGCTTACACTAAGTGCTCACTAACTATAAATATTTAGTGTAGTTGGTTAAATTACTATACCAAAGAGCTACAAGTTACAGGACTGAGCCAATGAGCACATTTCTTAATCTGACTTTAAGTCTTAAGAAAATGACAGCAAAGTGTGTGCTTCAAGGTGATAGGTATTTTTGAACATATGACGGAACTTTCCTAAACAAAAATGAGTATACAAAAAAGGAATAAGAACATTTTTAAGAATGAAGAACTGAGAAGCTGATGATATAATTAAAAGGGATCTGAGTAAAAAATATGAGCTTAGTTTGAATTTCAGGTGCTAAGAAATGTAGAGGGAACCCAGCAGTTGTTAATTCGAGCCTGAGGCTCCAGAGAGAAATTCAAGTTGACAAGAATGTGTCAGAGAACAGATAAGTCTGTGAAAAGGCAGAGTGCTGAAGGACTGCAGGACTGCAGATGGAAGCCAGTGAAATGGCAACACAGGAAAAAGAGGTAGACGAAGAGAGCACAGGAGCAGGCAGAGGCTGGAGACACAAATGAGGGTGTGGCTTGGGGGCCAGATAGGCTTGTTCCATAGGAAGCAACAGCCATAAGAATGAGAGCTGAGGCTGAAGTAAGCAGCAACTGAATCAATACTTATAGCATGCAGTGCAGATTTTAAATTATAATCTTAACACTGAAAATATGAAATAATGATCTAATAAATCTTTGTGGGCGAAGATTCTGAAATCAGGAATTCTTGCTAATTTGACAACATAAGCAAAAATTCTTGAACACATTGTATACGTGGCAAGGAAAGGGCTAACAAGTACATGCTTGGTTGCTGTAAAATTGCTATAGGTATACAATATTTATGGACTAATTTGGATACTTTTTTATGAATTAATACATAATAGCTACTTCAACGTAAAAAAACAATAAAAAATAAACTGAAGAACATGTTCAAGTAAGGGAAAACTGAGCTACCTTATTCTGAATTACTCCAATCTTGGAATTTGAACAATATATAATTTTATTCCTAATAAGCACTAAAAATCTTTCTGAATAAGGTAACTTAGGATAATGTGACTTTCCAAAAGCAAACAAGTTTTTAAGCAAGTCACTGTATAAAATTATTGTGAACCAAAGTATAGCTTCACAACACATAAAAAAGTGCTGTAATAATGAGCAGCATTTCCCTTTTGCTTCCACAGAGAATTTGATTAAATGTAGCCTCATTATTAGTGGTCTGGATGCAGGAGAGCAATCGACTTGGGTCTGGAACTAACCTCTATGGGTTTGTCAAGCTCAAGCATTCACACTTATATGAACTGAGCAATCCAAGTACTGACACACTGGATTGCCTAATATTGCCTGGAAATGGCAGTTATTAATGGTACAACTATTAATTATTATTAAGATAGACTAAAAATGTTGTTTATAGTGAAATAGTTCTTGAGATTTCTTTTTTTTTTTTTTTTTAAGCAGGAAAGACTAGACAAGGGTAAGTAATAAACTCTTCAGACTATTTCCATTTAGAGATCATTTAAGTCAGTGGTAGCTATAACTTTTGCAATTAAAGCACAGAGTTCTCTTTACTAAAATAAAATCTTATTCAGAAGCCCAATGTGTAAAACAGATGAGAAATGAATTACTCTGTAAGAGAGGAGCTGTAAGATGGTAAGTGTGGGAGGGTAAGTAGCTCTATTCCCAGTGCTCACTCCTGATTGCAGGTTAGGAGGGGCCAGACTAGATTCAAAACAATGTATGAACCCAATTCCTGATTTTACAGATGGTGTACTGAAGCCTAGATAAATTGTAAGTCTTGTTCAACGTCAAGGAGCTTGTTTTGAAAAAGCTAGGATTGTACTTCAAGTCTATTTTTTTTTCACTCCCAGTGCTTTTCCCATGGTAGTAAAATTAAAGCATCATCAACAGTCTCGTTAATGAAGTTTAGATTTCATAAGAAACCTTCTCTGATGGAACCAGAGTCAGCTGTCTCGCCGATTATTCCTTATACGAATGCCCATGTTCCTTCTTAGTGGTATGGTGCACTGCTCTTGTCTGTTTATGAGTATGTCAGTCTTTGAGTTCAGACAGAGAACAGAGACATGTTTTATTTATGTGCATCCCACAATACCTCTCATGGGATCTGTTTCCTGGATGAACAAACCAATATTTTAACTTTATGAAGACTTGTAGTCATCACTGAAAATTATCTATCAATCCGCTTTTCCATAAAATAAACACATTTTCAGTAATCTCATCCACATCTTGTGCTCAAATGCAGTTTGATAAATAATATCCCCTCAAGGTATAAGGATTACCAAGTTGAGAGATTTAAATCAACTGAAATCTTGCCGTAGGGGAAGCTTTACTTAGAAATATATGACATGTTAAGTTATTCAAAGAAAAGCAAAATACCTGCGTATTCTGGATAGCATATAGTGAGGGGGCTCTTTTTGATTTTTTCTTCAAAGAGATCCTTCTTGTTTAGAAACAGTATAATGGATGTATCTGTAAACCACTTGTTGTTACATATGCTGTCGAATAATTTCATGCTTTCATGCATTCGATTCTATAATAAAAAATAAAACCAAGTTTTTATTAACAGCAAGGATCTGGATGACTATTTTTAGAAAACACAATGTTCAACAAAACAGGGCTTTTTAGTTGAAAAAGAGGTAACTCTCCACTAAAATGAATTTCTACCATTTCAGAACAAGCACACTTTGATGTTAGGCGAGACAGGTGTCTCATGGCTTTTTGCACTCAATAATTACTTGCTGAGTGTTCGCTGTGAGTTCTGTGCTATGCCTGGAAACATCCTGCTGCAGGATGTTATAATCTGATGCCCAACAGTGAACATCTGAAAAGAATTCATGATTATAGAGGTCATCTCTGTTTTCATTAAGAGGTAAGTGGAGCTTTTAAAGATTAATAAATTAAATTTAACAAGTGAAATTCAATTAGTCTAACACTCCAAAGAAAGAAGACTTCCAATTCTTGTTTCTTGCCCTTCCAGGGTCTGTATTCAGCAGGGACACTGAGATATTTCATAGAGCTGAAATGAAAGAAAGTATAGTGTTGCACTGTACCTACTGCATTATAATTGTATATACTTGATTTTAAAAACACAAACTAAGCCTATCTCTTTTTTATTTCCCCCATGTTGCATTAAAGTTAATTTAAAGTAATAGTTTAAATTTCTATTTCTACTTCTCCAAATTAATGGCAATGAAACATATCTAAAAATTACAAAGCATAGCACACATCAAAGATTACTAAACTGCCAGAAATAACAAGAAAAAATGAGTCTTGGATTATCATGGACCTAACTTTACTTTCATTTAGTCTGTAAGTACAGCATATTGGAAATGCACAGTTAAACATACAGGGTTGAGGTAAAATTGACTCTCAATCTCTTCCTTAAGATGCATCTGTGATTCTTTAGCATTCTTTCCTTAAATGCAAACAGAAAAGTTGAAGAAAAGAGCCTGAACTTTCAAATAATTTGGGCATAAGCAAGAATTTCTCAAGAATTTTTCTCAGAAAAGTTCTTGGCAACACCATCTCCAGCTCTGCATATTTCATGCTCCAGCTTCAAAAAGGGTTGTACTTGCCATTTCTTCATCTTCAGCTAGAACCAGGTCATAGTCACTCAGGGCCACACAGAAGATAATGGCTGTCACTCCCTCGAAGCAGTGGATCCACTTCTTCCGCTCAGACCTCTGACCTCCCACATCAAACATTCTGCAAGAGCAAAAATCATGGGTTGACATCCCTTACATGTTCAAAAGCTCTGAGGGGCTCTGTAAAAATGCTCCAAACAGCTGGAGGAATGTGGGATGGGAAGAAAGGAGAAAAGGACTGAGTGGGAGGAAAACAATGTCACAAATTGGTTTTCTCAAAGGGAAAAATGTCTGTTTTTTTTTTACATCTTTGATTGCAAAGTGGGTATCTCTAATAAAAATAAACACCCTCAACAAACAAGACATTCATTAACATATGAGAACACTTAGGACATTAAAGCAAATACAAATGAAAGGACTGTCCTACATGTAAACACTGAGAAGTCACATGAAGCAACTGGGGAATACAAAGATCAAAGAGTACAAATTCAATTTGCCAGTCATGGAACATTAGGGGCAGAGGGCACGACTTCCACTTCCTACTGTGAGTTTCTCTCAGAGGCAGGAACCAGTATGTTATTACTTTCATGTAAAGGAGAAACAATTCCAGGTAGGAAAATGTAGGATAAGCAAATCAAATTCAAATAAGGGCAAAAAACTTGCCTAGATGAAAAAATAAAATTATGGTATGAAAAAAATGAGAACTGAAAATATGAAATAAATGGTGGACCTACTGAATAGTCATGGAATTTGGAGTGGGAAAAAAAAAAAAACCCTAAGCTTTTACACAATATACAATAGCGGACCATTACAGGTAAGTGAACGAGGTAATAACACTATCAAACTGCATAGCGACAGTGGCCTTTTCCTCTTTTTCCTGGCAAGAGATTATAAAGTTAAGCAAAAGTTTAAATTTGCATAGACTACATTATGCAACCTAGAAATAACCACTTATATAATGGAAACACCATGCAAACTGGTACATTTTTAAAAGCTCCATTTATCTAGATGGTGCACTAATTAAAACAGTCCCTTGTTTAATTCCCAGGCAAAAAGAAGTTTCCCTACAGAGCAGTATTGGCCTATAAACCAACTCTGAGCACATCAACTACTATTGTTACTTTTATCATCATTTAAAAATGCAGCCTTTGTTTTGGTTAGCCAGAAATTTTTCATTAAAGTGTGCCACATAACAAAAGAATTCTACCACATAAGTCAAAATGGATAAGAAACAACAGCAACAAAAAAGGATAGAATACAAAATGGATAAGATGCAAAAAAACGGCAAAAGAATAAAGTAAAAGAAAATATATTTATCTTAATTGCATAAACATTTGTAACATTGCTTTAGAACATGACTTGAAAATAATAGATAACCAGAGAGCTAGCCTTTTCTTAGAAAACTACTCTGATCAAATGTTACCTATTCTCTGTCTTTTCATTATAACAATCCACCTCAACCCATCCCACATTTTCTCTCTGTGCTGGTGACTTTTGTGTTATCACCTTGACTAAACTATTACAGTTATTTAATCAAACACTCCTCTAGGTGCGGCTGTGAAGGAATGTTCTGGGTGCAGTTAACATCTATAATCAGCTGACTTTAGGTCAAGAAGACTGTCCTCAATAATATGGACAAGTCTCTTGCAATCAAGTCAAAAGGGGCTAAGGGCAAAAACTGAGGTTTCTCAGAATAAAATGAAACTCTTCCACAAGACTGCACAATAGCCTGTCTCTGAGCCTGTAAACCTGCACTACAGGCCATCAGCATCACCACATGGAAGTCAATTCCTTGAAATAAACACAACTTATTGGTTCTGTTTCTCCAGAGAATACCAAAACTGGTACCAAGACAGTGGTGCTAAAAATGTGTAAGTAGCTTTGGAATTGGAAGATGAACAGCAAGTAGAAGAATCCTGAAGCACTTCACAGGGGGAAAAAAAGAAAAGAAAAAAAAAATCTAGACTATTTTGAAGATATGGGTAATAGAAATACAGGTATTAAAGACTCAGATGGAAGTGAACAGTGGGAAAGCTTTCATTGTTTTAGGGAATGCATATATTGCCATGAACAGAATGCTGGTAGACAGATCAACCTTGAGGCTGTTTTTAATGAGGTCTTAAAAAGAAATAAAAACACATTATATCTTGTAATCCCAGTGGCTTGGGAGGCTGAGGATCAAAAGTTTAAAGCCAGCAACTTAGTGAGGCCCAAAGCAATTTAGTGTTACCTGGTACCAAAGGTGGGCTGTTGGACATGTTATACATTGTAAAATGACAACCAGTTGGCTGAACTGGGTAGAAGACAGAACTTGTAAGCAATGATTGTAGATGTACAGTGGAAGATATTTATATAGAAAAGCGTGAAAGGTTCAATTCTATTTTTCTATGGTGCTCACAGTAAAACAAGAGCAGAAAGGTAAGCTGAGCAATGAATTATTAAGCAAAAGGGAACCACACACACACACACACACAGGGAAGAAGGACTCCTGAAAACAGGTAAATATTGGAGTGACACAGCTACAAGCCAAGAAATGCCATGAATTGCCAGCCACTACCAGCAACTAGCTAGGAAGAGGAGAGGAGATTCTTTCTTAGAGCTTTGAAAGGGCACAAGGCCTAGCTGACATATTGATTCCAACTTTCTAGCTCCCAGAACTGGGAGAAGATAAATTTCTACTTGTTTTGGCACCTAGTTTATGGTAATTTGTCATGGCAGCCTGGGAAGTGAGCAGATCCTCTTACCAAGTATTTTTTTTCCTATAAATTATTCTTTTCCCTATTGCTCTTCTCATCTCATAAATATTCAATTTGTATAATTTATTTTCTCTTCCACACCCCAGTTCTACCCCAAGAATGTAAAAATGAAGAATTTTTTTTTTTCTCTTTTTTGTTCACTTTACATCCGAACATTGAACACACGTAGCAAGTACTTCACAAATCTTTATGGTCTGAATGAATAAACCATGCCTAAAGAATATTAACACTTTAAAGGAATAATAGACTTTGTTATGTTCAAAATGTAGATCTACCAGTTACTTTGTGGAAAACGTAAATATAAAAGAACTTTAGTCGTCATTTAATAAGTAATTTGACTACAGAAGAAATGTCTTCAATGTATATGTTTAATCAATGAAATATAACTAAATGAGGATCCTTCATGTATTTCTTATGAACAAAGAACTTTTGGTCTAAGCCAGTGATTTTCAAACTTCAGTGAATGAGAATCAATAGGTGGGAGACTCGATACTACTGGTCTGGGGAGCATATGTTTGAAAGTCAATTAGTTCTTAAGTCAAAGAATAACAACTGGGAATTGAGATCAGAAATGACTGGACTTTGCTTAACAGTTCAGTGGCATTTAGAGAGAGAGAGATGAAGATAATCACTGGAAGAACCACTAATTTTTATCAGTCTTAAATGTTCCATGAAAAGGCAGATAAAATACAAAGCATTATTCATTGTTCGACAAAGAAGACAGAAATATCTTAATTATTTAATATGTTTTTTTAAAACTCTGAATTCCTCTATTGTTTAAAAGAATAACAAACAAAAAAGTAGTATGTTCTCCATAAAAAAAAGATAAGACTTTTGACTAGCATCAAATAGGGAATGAATTTGAGTTTTCACTGGGTTTCTGGAGAGAGGAATAGAGGGGAGGCTGAATACCGTGAGCTGTGTGCTTACCTGTCCTTGGACTGTCACCTAATACCACTGTGATCAAGACTGAGCAGTACAGAACTGACCAACTTGTATTTCACACTTATAAGCAGAACACAATATTCCAAAACCTATTACACATTTATAGTAAAGGAATATATATTTATTGTACATTATGTAAATTTTCTAATAGAAGGATGCATTAACACTGTATCTGAAAATGGTTTAATAAAACTGTTGATTCTTTAATTAAAGTAAACCACATGGGCATGGGTCATAAATGTCCATTCAGAGAGATGATAATATGAATTCTTAAATTAAAATAGATGCCCTATTGCCTTATTTTGAATTTGTTAATGCCAAACACACAAAGAAATTTGAACCTTAGTTTACTCTTTGGTTAAAACCAAAGAATTATAACATGAAATACACTGGAACTACAAGATGATGACTGCATAGAGAGTTCCCAGCAGAATCATTCTAAACATGTTTCTGCCCTCATCCATTCTCCAATGAGGAGAAAATAAAAAGAAAAGTTGGGCTGGGTGATGGCAGCATAGTGGCTCAGGAGGGTGAGTCAGGAGGATTCCAAGTTCAACCTCAGCAACTTAGTGAGGCCCTAAGTAATTTAGCAATATCCCATCTCAAAACTGAAAAAGAAAAAAAAAAAAAAGGCAGGAGACTTAGCTCAGTGGTCACATTGGTTACGCATCTCTGGGTTCAATTCCAGTACCAAAACAAACAAACAAACAAAGGTTGGGGGAGGGGGAAGCAAAGTTGGAATCATAGATTAGCAATGCTAATAATTTAACAGAACTCAAATAAAGACAAAATTATCTGAAGTTCTAGAAAAACCTGTGTTTATTTTGTAAGTCAATAAACCAGAGCACTAATTACTAATTAAATACTTTCCATTAAAATATACCTCACCCAAGAAGCCCAAATGGAGCAACATAAATGGACTTCCTGGGAATCATGGTGAGAGTCAACTTCACTGATCTTAGGACATGGTTGATGTTGAAATGACAGTTTTAAAACATGCAGCTAGATTTTACCTAAATAAGTGAAGAGTGTGGTCTGAAAAAAAATACTTAAAGTACATTTAACTAGGATGAAAAATGAATTTCACAGCTTGCTCTTAAGTATCAAGTAACTGATTTAACATTTGCCATTATCCTTTGTCACCATTTATAGTTTTAACCTTTGTGATATTTTTAAATAGGCAATAATTTGCTTTATCTTTAAGCATTTGACCAAGAGCAAGGCTGTGATAGACTCTCTGTTAAGAATCCTTTTTTTTTTTTTTTGCGGGGGTGGGTGGGGAGTGTCCTGATAGAAATTCTAAGATAGTTTTTAAACTATAATTATTAATATATATTATTTAAAAATTTATTTATTAACACATAATTGTACAAATTGATGGGATACACCTGTATTAACTGTGTCCGTCCACCCTTCTTTCTATTCGTGGTGCCTCATTTTCCTCATTGGATTTTTTTTATTAGTACATATTTTTTATACAGCTACTTAATAGGAGAACTTAAGACCTAGAATCCTTACTTCCTTATCTATAAACTTATATCAAAATAATTTATAAGAACACAATCTTTAACAAGTAAAAAAAAATCAGAAAGTAAGATGCACTAAATTTAAAAACGTAAATTCTCTTTTTAACAGTAAACTTCCTTAAAGTTAACGATCACTTAATAGTTTTAAGATAAATATGATGGCAGTTCCCAGATCAGACATATCACATGGTCATTAAGCATCTGACAAGTACAGTAGTGTACCAAAAGACAGTAAGTAATTCAAGGAAAGAGAACACCAGTAGCTCAACATGACACTGGGGCTTAACAGTGAAATAAGCTCTGGGTGTTGTGGTGCACATCTGTAATCCCAGTGGCTCAGGAGGCTAAGGCAGGAGGGTTGCATGTTCAAAGTCAGCCTCAACAACTTAGAAAGGCCCTAAGCAAGGCCTTAGTGAGACCTTAATGAGGCCATGTCTCAAAATACATAAAATAGAAAAGGGCTGGGGATATGTGACTCAGTGCATAAGCGCCCCCGGTTTCAATCCCTGGTACCCTTCCACCAAAAAAAAAAAAAAAAAAAATTAGACCGCTTCATGAATCAAGCACAGTTAACACTGCCAGAAAAACTAGCTATGATCTCAGTATTCATTTCAGAAAGCACAGCAATGATCTTTTTTTTTTTTTTTTTTTTTTTTGGTGGGTAAAAGAGGACATGGAAAACTGAAATGGAGCTTTTTTTCTCTAAAAAACTCAGTTCCTTGAAACACTGATAAATCAGTAAGAAAAGGAAGTAACAAGTGTATTCTCTTTCAGATAGCTGTGGAAGCAATCAGAGGTATAGTTGCAAATATTTAACAGTGCTTTCAGCTTGTAACAGTTAAGCTTTCTTTAGGAAGTGAACCAATGATTTTTATCTCTGGCTTGGAACATTTTGTTAATGTTTTTAGAAATTCTGCTTTACTGTCATTATCATTTCAGAGCATTAGTGTAACCCATAATTCATATTAAAGCCCTATTTTAGAACGATTATCTTGAATCAAAACATTTTCAATCAAAGTAAAAAAGAAGAGATAAAATAATAACAATATGGGATACTCTATTTGTAAGCCAAATTACTTTTTGACATAATTACTGAACAATTTGTTGGTTGTTTCTTTTTTTTTTTTTTTTACTTTTAATCTTTTGTTTTTCATTTTTGATTCTACATTTCTACATTTCTGGAACTATGGGGATGGAGAAGGATAAAAGCTAAGGGAATATATATAGTCTTGTAAAGTTTGAGTTTTTACAAAGAATATAAAAATCTTCAGTAACAATTTGAAAAACAAATCTATCACAAGTACAAAACAAATGATCTATCTAAACTCTTATAATATTTTAAAAACTGATCTCTAAAAAAAGACATGTAGTATAAAGATTATGAAAACCTTAAAACAGAGCACAAAGGCATTTTGTATGTATGTATGTATTTATTTATTTATTTATTTATTACAGGGACAACTGGTGCATGCTCAATTTGAGTCAGGCTGTCTGCAAATCTCTGCAGGTGTACAGCAGCACCTGACTGCACCTTATGCATGACTACAGCTGCAATCTTCCTGAAAATGAATCTCAACCTTCTTGGATTTAAAAACAAAAAACAAAAAAACACACCAAAGAGACAAAAACCTCTACATATTAAACTAAGAAAAATAATAAAAATAAAACCCACATATCCACATGTTTAATTTTAGCATTTTTTTTCTATCCAATACTATTTATTAGCTAATATTTATATGGATCAGGGAACATGTGGGTTTTCCTGAGTGTGAATAATGTGATTCTGTTGTGTTGGTGAGATTTAGGCTCTGACTCTGTGAAGGGCCTCACAAGCTGTTCAAGGGCTTAGTGTTCAGTTTCCCTTCTGCTGGGCACTTAAATGGCACTTAGGAAATGTGACATTTTAAATGAATTTGAATTATGAGAAGCTAGTTTTTTTTTTTTTTAAACTTGCTGCCCTCTTCACATAGCTTTAAATTATGGAAATGGATAATACAAGGGGGAAAGAAAGGAATAGCTATTTTTTTTTTAAACCAGTATATATATTTTTTTCAGATCAAGTAAAACCACAGTGGTCTGGGATTTTTATGAAAACATAGAAGTTTTATGTCAGCAGAAAATTCTGTGGTGTTAAATCATTTACTCATGCACATATCTTTGTATAGGATATAAAACCTCATTTTCCTTTATCTTATTGTTATTATTTTAACTGGAATAAGGCGCATAGAATTGATGAGCAACAATGCACACATACAACAATTCTGACTGGGTGAGTTATGAATTATTAAGTGGAAAATTTAGATAAAATAGCAGATGACTCGACAGGGAAAACTAGATGAAAGTAACTGATGAAAAGACCTTACAGATAAAATAAGAATGTGCAAATTAAAACATTATATTTTCTCAAGTCCAATAGTTTTTCTCTTATCTTGAAAACAGTTATTTATTAGAAAAAGAGAAATCCAATTCTGTAAATTTGTATGCAATGTTTTACTGACCTTCCCTGAGCCTGGTTCCTTATAAAATGAGGGAACAGAACTAAAGGAACTCTAAGAGCCCTTCCATTAAAAGCTAAAATTCAGTGCTTCTCTGTTCAGACCTCAGGAAGTTAATATTCAATACACTTTAAGTAAACATTTCTCATCATGAAATAGTGCAAATATCACTTGGCTATGAATAAGATTTTTCTTGAAAAATTTTAAAAGCCACCTTTCTTTTCAAACATTTCCATAAATAAACAAATAGTCTATTGATAAAACCAGAGGGCAATATTTCCCAGTATTTTCTGTTCAGAAATAAAAGCCAAAATACTATTTTCATTTACACCACTGTAAAAATTACGGCATTTATCTGGCATTTTTTCTTAAATAAAAATGAAAACATTCCTTATATGAATGCTTCTTTTAGACCTCTTTTTCCCCCCAATTATTTTGTTTAATCATTTGTGCAAAGTTTTTCTGACTGCAATTTCTAAGCATAAAAATGTTATGAACACTTACTATCTTTTATTTCTAAAGCAATGTGTTTTATACCTAAATTTATAAATAATATGTTTGGAAGCTACTCACTTAAAATGAAGATCTTTGAAAGTAAAATGGGTTTCAACAATCCCTGTAGTTTTCACTCTGGTTCTGAGAACATCTTGCTGAGTTGGGATATAATTTGGTTGTGCTATTCTGTCCAAATCATTCAAATAGCTGAAAAAACAGACAACAAAACAACATGTAAATCATAAATGTTGCCAATAAAGATAATCCAAAACAAAGACTATAATATCTTAATGCATGCCATACTGTGAAATCACTGGAAATGTTTTTTAGTTTCTGTGTAATGATGTAAAACAATCAATTTAGTCTTAGATCTTACAGGATTTCTACTGACTGAAATGAAACTGTTTATAATTCTCCAACCACCAATTTCTTTTAGTATTTTCAAAATGTGTACTTTCTCTTTTAGGTTCAGTAATCCAAAGGAAAAAGAGATTTAAAAAAAAAAATCCCAAGCTAATGAACACCATGAATTTATGCTTATTATTCATTACACTTTTTTGATGAACTGTACTTATGTTCTATATATTACTCTTCTGTTAAAGATTTTAAAAGTTTTAATTTTGGTTCAAGTACTGAGGATACCTTAGGCAAAGGCTGAATGAGATGCTGCTGCTTCTTAGTCTTATCTGCAGGATAAGACTGCACATGACTCCTGTAGTCTGCTCTCAAAACCAACACCCACATTATACTTCTCAATGATTTTAGTCACTCATCTAATACTCTCTCCAAAGGATGTCAACTATTTCATGATACAAAAATGTAGTGTCACCATATAATGCAATATAAAAATGAAAATTATTTTTTTCACTATTTATGTGGTAGAGGCAATAACTAACAGAAAGTCCAGGTATGGAAGGTTAATAAGGGCCTGAATGTTAAAGGATTCATGGACAGTGATAATATACTCAGAAACATGAACAATGGGGTGAAAAACAGGGCATGTCACTTCTGTTAGAAGCAGTGGAGATGGAAACAGTGAGGTCTTAATTCTTGGAGAGCAGCCCCATTAACAGGCTGTGTACAACCTAAATGAGGTCAGCTGAACATGGTGGGCATCCCTGCAATGTCCTGAAATACTACAGCAGCACTAGACATATAACTTAGAAATAATTTAGGCACAGAGAAACACCAACTACTGAAACTGCAAATTGGTATTAAACTCTGAAGAGAATGCTTAGCCATTCAGAACAGGGTCTTAAAAACCAAAGGAGTTTGTTACTTTGCAGTGCTAGGGATTGAACCCAGAGCCTTGTGGAAGTTTGGGAAGTGCTCTACCACTTGAGCTACATCCTAACTATTTGATTCATTCTGGATAGAGTTGAGAAATTATCCAAATCCTGAATTAGTAACAAAAATGTTATAAACAGTCAAGTGTGTGTGTGTGTGTGTGTGTGTGTGTGTGTGTGTGTATAGATAGATAGATAGATAGATAGATAGTGTGGATACTACAATACAGAGGAGATGACGCCTGTTACCTAAACAAAGCAAAATTTGTAGAACAACACATGCTTCAGATTCTGGAGTCTTTCAGATTCTGGATTTTTGGATTAGAAATGCTGATCATTTCTTGTAGACGTGGTGATACCAGTCAGTATTATATTTGCTGAATTTAAGAGAATCTTATCGCAGTGGTAACAATACCCTTGTATTTTCTCTGAGCCTTTAATGCCATAAGTATGCTATATATTACATGATGTATAATATGCATGTATTACATATTATACATTATGTACCAATATATTATACAAGGTTACAATTTATCATAAGAAAATATGATTTAACAAATCAACCAAATGAACCACACCAACATTTTACTATTGGCCCCTTTAAAATAGTTCTTATTCAAAATGTGCTTTGATTACTCAGATACATTTTTTATTAAAACTGCTATAATTCTAATAGACCCTAAAATATGCATACTCATATTTCAACAAAACGGAAAAGAAAAACAGGCATTGTTAAAAAAAAAAAAAAAACCTCCCACTGTGGGCTGGTGTTGTGTGGCTCAGTGGTAGAGCACTTGCCTGGCACATGGGAGGCCCTGGGTTTGGTCCTCAGCATCACATAAAAAATAAAGTTAAAAAAAAATCACATTGTTCTAAATGATCACAAGTTTAAACTGCAAATGGATACTTAGTCCTAATGACAGGATAACACCACCTCCAGTCCAGAACTCAGAACTAAAGATACATGTCAGCACTCCAGAGGAAAAGATTTCTCTGACTTCCTTCATTCTTGAAAACTGACTACATTATTACATATTAAGTTTAGAAAAAGCAAAAATAATATAACAATAACCAAAGCAACATGTCTTTCCCAACGCATGTCCAAACAGCATGCACTGGAACAGATGGTTCTTGGTCAAAGAGGATGGAGAGGCCTGGAAGTATCCCCACACTGTGAGGAAGAGGCCTTCAATCTATGCACCCAAGGAGTACTTCTTAGTTACTGAAGCAGCTCCTTTTGCTAAGCTTAGCAAAGAGCAATCTTCTATCTCTAATTGTCACTACAATTTGAATTTTTCAGCAGGTACTGATAGTGGCAAAGAAAATAACATGGTTTAAGAGTTGTGTTTTTCCTTTAAGTAATTTTTTTAATTTGTCTTCAACCTTGTGTGAAGTTCAGCTTATTAATTCATTTATTATTAAACAAGATCAGTCTGAGTGACAACTACCTGTCAGGCTATGGTGATATGTTAGGCAAAAACAGACATTACTGAATTCAGTGTAGTGGCAGAGACAGTAAATGATTAAATAGTCACAACATAACAAGAAAATAAAATAACCTCAAAATATTTGTAATTCTGAAGGAAAAGTACAGAGTATTACAAGTACCTAACAGTGGAGCAAGGATCTTCTCGAGCACCAAAGAGTGTTTTCTTGTAGAAGTGATGACACCAGTGAGAAAGGTGGGCTCATATTCAATAAGCCACACAGGTAACAAGGTGTTTGCACAAGTATGAAAGTTAAAGTATAAATTAAGAAACAGGGTTACAAAGATTGCTGTGGGTGATGTGATGCATGTTATTAATTCACATTAAATCACAGGACACATGGGGCACACTCAGATGTCCAACAACATGTGATAAGACACTTGGGTCCACACCCCATTAGTCTGTTGCTCACTGTAACCACATGCATGCCATTTACCAAGAGCCTCAACACTTGTTCTTATCTAGCTAATCCTTACTTTGGTTCCTAACAGCCAACACAACTCTTTCAGCAAAACAGAACACTATCAGAAAGTAAAGAGTACATAATACATATTTTAGAAACCAATTAATGCTACTTGTGCAATATCTGACATTTCTGGGTATGTGACCCAAACTATGGAACAATCACTTGGTGTTTTCTTGTTTTTATATCATTTTTTGTGTGTGCTATATCACAATATAGGAAGTTGGCTGGGTTTTATCACAACTTGCTTTGCAAACTTTCAGGGTTCACCACCTGTAAAATTAGGGCAGGCTTTTTTTCTAAAGAACTTATATGTAAGTATCTGTAAGGCTAGGTGTGGTGGTGCATGCCTGTAATCCCAGCGGATGGGGAGGCTGAGGCAGGAGGATCGCAATGGTGAGGAGCTAAGCAACTCAGTGAGACCCTGTCTCTAAATAAATAAATATATATATATATATATATATATATATATATATATATATATATATATATATAAATAAAATAAATATTTGCAAACAGTAGCTTATGTCTCAGGACACATACAGCAAACAACCTTCAGGTGTAGCGGTATTTTACTTAGTGAAAAAATATCTTGGGAACACCATCCAGTACTTCAAAAGATCCCTAGTTTAGGTGCCTGTCACTGAACAAGTACACTTCTTAGGCATCATTAGCATTATGAAAAGCACCCACATCACTTACCCTCTCATTTGGCTAGCTTCAAGTAAATTAGACATATACTCAAATGCACCGTGAACTTTTGGAAATTCCAATTATTTTCTTGGAAATATACAAGATACATTCCCATTATGCATGCTTCAATTAAAGTTTACATAAGCAAGAATCTCTTAAGGTACCACTGAACACACAGGAAATAAAAACATTCCTATCCATAAACATACAAAAAAGAGAAAGTTTTAAAATATTGTCATCCTGAGTTGTACAAGAATATGTCAACCAATTCTGCAATAAAATTGATTTGGAGGTATATTTGACTCACAAGTAATTATTCATGATAGTGAAGTTCAGAAGTTATGATTACTTACTATGCTGCAGAATCATTAAGCTGGTACTCTCGGGATCTGTTGAAACAGGCTTGTACACCGCTATCTTTCCACAATCTCTTTATAACTCCAGCAAGTTCTACAGTCATAAAGCCTTCTTCCGCAGCTCCAGCAAGCACAAAGAGTTGGCGGGCGTCATCCTGAACATTCAACAACCCATTTTTTAGAGAGTAAAAAGAGAGACATTAGAGATTAAAAAGTGCAAATGGAGAGATTAGAGATAAAAATGCAATATTGAATTTCCTTATATTTTGATAGAAGTGTCCTAGCTTCTCTCTCTCTAAAACACCCTTAAGAAATTGGCTTAACCAAGAGAGTATAATCATAAATCAGGAGCTTATGTTTTATGGTATTAGCAATATTCACCAAGGCAGCAGAAAGCTGGCAGAATTTCTTCAGTTATGGTACATGAAGGGGACCTGAGTTAACTATCTACAGTTTTCTGCGTACTAGATCTGATCATTTTTGAGAAAACAGAGGAAGAGTCTTGTCTTGCTCCTTCTTGCTCAAGATGTTTTCAATCTAAGAAACATAAAACACCATGAATGATTACATTAAATAGAATCCATTTAAGTGTAGCTTTCTGATATAATTTATAGATGCAAAATATGTTAAGAGAAAGGAAAAAATCTATGTGGAGTAAGCAAGAAAGGTTTCACACACAAAAAAAAAATGGTCTGTAGATTCACAGGAGACTTTAAAATGTATATACATCAAAACCAAAGAGGAAGCAGTTGGGAGCAGGTGTTTGCCAACTCAGGCAAGGAGAACAAAATAAGCACATCTTGGGAATAGAAATATTCAAGACACACACAGAAGACAACAGACAAAAAATTCGAAGTGAGAATACTGTCTATAAAGTTAGCTAAATTGTGCTTAAATATGAGGCTACTAATATTAAGTCTGATCTACAAGTAATCAACCACTCATGACCAGTGCTGTCAAAGAAAAAAAATGTAATGTAAGCAATAATGCAATCTAAATTTTCTAACCACCACTTAAAAGAAGGAAAAACAAAAAAGGTCACATGAAAATAATTTTAATAATATGTTTTGTTTAACCTATATACAAAAATATTATAACTCAACATGTAAACAATTAAGTTTATGAGATAATTCAAATTTTTATACATATTGTCTTCAAAATGTGGTGTGTATTTTACACGTACATCACATGTCAATTCAGAATAGACACATTTTATTCACTCAATGGTATATGTACGTAGAAGCTACCTACCATACTTGATAATATCACTCTATCCTCCAGGTAATAACACAGCTAATTCAAAGTGGATGGAGGAAGGGAGAAGATGCTATCTTCATAGAGGTTTTCATTAACCTGAGACATGTTAACTGGGTGGAAAATATTATCATCAAGGGGCATTCTTCCAGATACAGATGGCCTTCAGTTTTCTATGGTTTCTGTACCGCAGATCTAACAAACTTCAGATTGAAGATATTTGAAAAAATAATTGCATCTGTACAAACTTTTTTCCTTAATCCCTAAACAATACTATATAACAACTATTTATATGACATTTACATTGTATTTAGGTATTATAAGTATTCTAGATATAATTTAAAGTGTATGGAAAGATATGCATAGATTATATGCAAATATTGTGCCATTGTGTAAGACACTTCAGAATCTTTGGATTTCAGTATCTAATGATGGTCCTGGAACCAATCCCCCACAGATACGGAAGAATAAATGTATGGTACTAAATGCTTATAGAGAGGAGGAACACATTACGATATGGTATACAGAAGAAAAGATGCAGTTGGTGACACAGCTCATAGCTGACAATGTAAATTCATCCTGCTGCCAATTTGTGAAGCATTTCCTTTTCGGCTGGAACTCATCATGAAAAATAATTAAGTCTCAGCATGGGAACATATTATTCAAGCATATGTTCCCCTTTTTAGTAAATCACAAGAGAAATATGGGCAAGCAAGCAACATGTGCATAATATCCTTAATAAACCCTATATATCATGGTTTCAAGTCATTCTGAAAACCACTAACCCAATTCCATTAAAAGACTATTCAATTTTCTAAATATTTACTCATATGTGAGAAATTTCTACATTTGGCCATTTTTATTTATTAAACTACATCAAATAATTTCTCTGTTTTGGAAAAAATGCTTTTCACTTAAGTATGCTTTTAAATGCATTTTGGTTATAGTATCTTTTTTCAATTTCAATAAATTTTTGAAAGAGAAAGACCAATGCCCTCCAGGATAGGTCAGGAGATCATTCTTGCCTCTAACTTTCTAGGAAGAAACCTAAAGAAAACGCAGAAGAAACTTTGGAAGCTCTATTTATAAACTGCACTTTCTGTGGCATTCAAAAATGTCTCTTCCTTTTTTTAGATTCAACATACAAGTGGGATCATGCAATATTTTTCTTTCTGTGTCTGGCTCATTTCACTTAGCATAACTTCCTCCACATTCAAATGAATGAATGAATGTCAAATATACAGAAAGACTTCAACAGCAGCGGGACATAGGAAGTGAGAAAGGAAATAAAGTGATGTAGTTCAAAGGTCAAAGGAACAGACAGGTAGGATGATCAAGTCCAAAGAAATAATTACAACATTCGAACTATAAATAAACAAAAAAGTATTGCATCAGAAATTTTTGTTAAGTATATTTTAGCTGCTCTTATCACAAAAAAAATGTAATTACTTGAAATGAACGATATGTTAATTTGCTTCAGAATAATAGCCATTTTACTATCCATATGTATCCCATAAGGTCAAATTCTAAACCTCAAAAATAGACAGTATTAAAATGCAAAATAGCTTCTACTGGAAAAATAACTAGAACATTCACCTCCATGTCAGTAGCTGAATGTTCAGATGCTGAATTTGAGCTGGAAGGTACTGTAGAAATTATTCTATGTAATCTTTTGTTTTGTACAAAAAGAGCCCAAGGGCACAGAGAAGTTAGGCAATCTGCTTAAAGTTTCACAGCTAAAAAGTCACCCATTGGTTATTTAAATTGGTAAGTCCTAAAATAGGACAAATTTCAAAATTGTAGATTGGAGGCACTGATTTTATCTTGACAAGGAATGAGGTCTTCATAGGTTTGTATTAAAATTAATTAAGAACATTTATAAACACAAACATGAGGGTATCAAAAGAGTGTGGTACACAGTAGGAAAAGGGCAGGTATTACTGAAGACTGAAGTTTGATTAGGAGGTACAAAGGCTAGTAAATCAGTATACAGAAACTTTTTTGTGGTAATTAAAAAAAAAAGAGCACCTAGCAGGGGTGTGGCTCAGTGGCAGAGAACACTTGGCTTGTGCAAGGCCCTTGTTCAATTCACAGCATTCCCCTCTAAAAAATATAAATAAAAAAGTAAAGAAAAAGGAATATTATTTGCCAAGCAATTATTTGAGAGTAGCAAGGGGGAAAGAAATTCTTGGACGTAGCCAAGTTAAAATGTTTTTAAATTACTAAGAGCTAAATGAAAATAAAATGGTTCAGAGAATGCAAATTCCATATAACATATACATATGCTATATGGATTTTGGATACTCAAAAGAAGCTACAATATGTTATTGTGTCTAGAGCGAAGTAACCAGTCTTTCTCCGTGAAAATCAGGGAACACCTAGTATGCAGTACTTTCTTGCTGTTTAGTGATGTGCATTATATGTGCAGCTATCATCCACTTGATCAAATCCACAAGAGTCTGTTCAGGATGGGAGACGGGGAGATGCTGAGGGACCACAATGGCTATCCTCTGACATACTAAAGATCATAAAAGGTAAGAAGGAGTAAAATTCCTGTTGAGCTTAGAGCAGAAAAAAGGAGCATTCTTAAGACAAAAGATATAAGCTTTCAATTGAATAATGGGAAAACACTTTAACAATCACAGCAACCTAAAAGAATAAAAAATGGACAGAAAATTTCTCCTTTTTTTCTTTCTGCCCCTTTCAGTTCTAGAGATTTAATCCAGGGGAATTTTTGACACTGAAGTATTCCCAGACTTTTGTTTGTTTTTTAATTTGGAGAGAGGTCTCACCAAGTTGCCCAGGTGACCTCAAATGTGCAATCCTCCTGCCTCAGCCTCCCAAGTAGCTGGGATTACAGGCATGTGCCACTGCACCAGATAATGCAGAGGTTGGGGGTTTAAACAGAAGCTAGATGACATAGCAGACAAAACTTATGGAAAAGATTGAGTTTACATAAAAAATATCAAAAAAGACATTCTAATGTATAGGCTAAATAATATTAAAAAATAGTGATATCTATGAATTTTGCGTCATAGGAATTAGAGACTAATGTCAAGGTTGGCATATAGATGGATGTCTTGATTCAATGGCTTACCTTAAACCACACAGGATAAAAACTTCTCATTATTTAATTTACCATACTTCTATAGCATACTTTGTTACTCCAATAAATTTAAAACAACTGAACTGCTCTGTTGTATCCTTAAGGAAATCTTAAGAACTTTAATGTGTTCATCACACCATGACTCATGGTACCCATTATAAGATGTTAAAGGGTTTTTTAAGAAACAAGTATGTGTCAAACACACATTTTTTTTGTAAAACACAAATCTAAGTAAAAAAGACTTGAGGCAAGAAAATAGGCAGTCATTATTCTTTTTTTCCATAAGATTGTTTAAAAGGGGAAAAAAGCCTAAAAATAAAATAAGTTAATTTTAACTAAATTGCAGAGAGCAAAAATTTTAACTAAATTGCAGTGAATTTAGTATGAAGCATAAGCTTCATTATATCAAGAAGGACAATTACTGATAAAATGTATGACACAAATATAACTTTTATGCCTATTCATGAATTTATATATGTATACATATTTTTAAAATATAAAATAAAGAAATATTGATACTTATATGTTCTTTGTATGAATAACAGAACCTGTTGTCAATGGAGATATAGAAGAATGTGGTAAGAAGTGAAATGAGGAAAGTAGAAATATGAAGTGCTAGAAGCACACATTATTTTTCAAGTAACTATCATTTGTGCATATATTGATATGTCTCAAATTGAAAACAATATAAAAGTATAAGTTCCTTCATTTATGTCTCAAATATAAATCAGGAACTATAATAAATGACTCGAATATTAATAGAGAAAAAACTGCAATTAAAAATAACTAGAGACA